GCATCCGAAATGGGTCCCCTCAGCCCTGGGGGCAGTTCTCCAACAACTCCCCTCCTGCCCAGAGCCATTTGTGCCAGGGCAGGAGGAGAGGGGGCAGGAGGGCATGGGGGCAGCAAGAGATGGGGGCAGGAGGCCAGATCCTGCGGCACCTGTGGTGACGGGGTGCAGTTCGCAGTGCAACAGTTCCCCCATGCGATGCATCACCACATCTGAGGAGGGGATTTATTCTTGTTTGCAATTGGAACAGCCCCACCATGCCATGGCACGGCATACACACAGTAACAGAGCCTCTGGTCTCACTCCAAATTAGCCCAATGAGGAGCAGGTTTTGAGAGGGGCTCGGAGGAGAAGTGGACTGCCTCTCTCCTCCCACCTCCAGTGTCACCTTCTGCCACCTCTGACTACTCTGCGGACACAATCAACACCCAGCGCAGTGTTGAGCTGCATGTGCAAGAGGTCCCTGCACACCATGATCCTGCTCTGCCTCCCAAAATACCCCGCCCAGCTGCCTTTTCCTCTAGGTCAGCATCTCCAAGAGGTCCTGCAGCTATGGACAGGGCCAAAGCACCATCTCAAGCGGTCATGGACGCTTGCACCTTTGGTTCCTCAAATGCAGGTGTAAATAGGAAGACCCAGCACAGGGATGCAATAGGAAAACTCCCACCACCAGCCACAGGGATAGAATAATGGAATCATAGAAGGGTTTGGGTTGGAAGGGACCTCAAAGATCATCTAGTTCCAACTCCCCTGCCATGGGCAGGGACACCTTCAACTACACCAGGTTGCTCAAAGCCTCATCCAGCCTGTCCTTGAACACTTCCAGGGATGGGGCAGCCACAGCTTCTCTGGGCAACCTGTTCCAGGGCCTCACCACTCTCAGAGGGAAGAATTTGTTCCTTATATAGATCTGCACTCCCAGGGCCATGTCCAGTGCCCGCTGCCAGTCGTATCCCAAACACAGTGGCCTGATAAAAGTCAATCCAGACATCTACATCATGGCTTGTTCAACGCGCGTGTGTCTACGCAGCACCTACGATCTCCACCTTGCACACCCCATGCCACCAGCACACGTGTTCACAGTCAATGTTGGGGAAAAAAAGCTTTAAAGGACAATTTTTCATTTTCTTTTCTACAGTAACCACAATAAAAAGTGTGGAAGCCAAAAGAAATTTGAAATTCTGTCTTTTTTTTGAGCACAACTTTTTTTTTTAAGAGCGTGTGCCCTGGCTTTCTACTTCTTGCCTTGCACTCACCTCCAGGTGCAGAAAAACCTGGGGAAAAAACAGGAAGCAGTGAATGTGTCCCGGGGGGAGATGCACTGAAAGTGAATGAATTGCTGGAAAATTAACACGAAAAACATTCCTGATTTTTCCCCGCTAGAAAACAAAGAGAAGAAAGCACCAACGGAAGAGGAAAAGCTTTGAAACTGTCAAGAAAGAGATGTCTTTTCATTCAAAAGCCATGGCAACCTGACCAGAGCATTTCAAGCCACAGTGGGCATGGCAGAGGCCTCTTTGCACCCCGGGCTGCGGTCCCCATCCTGCTCATACAGCAGAGGTGGAGGTGCTGGTGCAAACTGGGAGTCCCACCGGCCCCGTAGAGAATGAAGGTCTGGCGCAACCTTGGCCAGGCACCTTCGGCATCAGTCCATAGAAGATCCCGGCTCCACGCTGAGCCCCAAGTTGGGGTCTCGGGGTGGCCACAGCCCCCTCCCTGCAACCAGCAGAGCCTTCATCCCCCATCCGAGCTCCAGCTGTGCTGGTTCCCCATGAGAAAGCAAATTTGGGTCAAAACCCTGGTTTCCCAGGGGGAACTGCATTTCCCTTTTGTCACCTCCACCGAAGCCACGGGAGAAGGAGAAGGAGCAATCACGGGTCCGGACCAGCCCTGGCAAAGGCACAAAAGAATCAGGGTTGGGAAACGGCAATGGCAGGCAAAGGTCAGAGGAAAGGAAATGTTTTGTAAACTCAGATGCATTTAACAAATGGTTTTGTTGTCAGAGCCGGCATGGAGATGGTCCTTCTGACGCTCTCCAAGAGCAGTGCTGCGTGTCGGAAGCGCTGCAGGTTGTTATTTTGCTACATAACATCATTTTTACTGAAAATTGACCCAAAAAACAAATGAAAGGGGGAGAGTTTAAACTGTAGATTTCAGAATATGTGTGTGTGTGTGTGTGTGTGTGTGTGTGTGTGTCCCAAAAAAAAAAACCAACGCAGTCAAACCAAACTGAAAGTTGGGTAGATTTTTCCTATGAAAAAATAAGAAATGATATCTCTGCAGTTTGCTGGGGTTGCAGACACCAAACCAGCCCACTCATCACTGCCCCATCTGTGGCTGTGGGCAGAAAAACCCTCTGTTAGCGGTCTCAGCCTGTAGCTAAAGCAAACCTCACCCGGCCTCTGCCACCAGGCAGCACCTTCCCATCCTCCACTAGTGTCCAAGACCTTGAATTAGGTCTGTGACCATCACTGTGGGTGCAGCGAACCCATCCTTGGGTGCCTTGACCCTTTCCTGGGGATCCATCCAACCCACAGCTGTCTCTGCAGAGAGTCTCATGGCCTTGGGGGAGGCACTGGGTGCCACTGGCTTCCTCGGTGCAGCAAAGGGACATTGCTTGCCCAGCATCACACGGCTCATCAGAGGTAAATCAGGACCTGCACCCCAATCCTCCTACCCACGTTATTCCCTGACCTCACTTTTCTCCCAAGTGCTTTCTGCGCTAAGATAGAAAAAGGGTGAGGGTTTTTATTTATTTTTAGATCTAAGGAAGAAATTTTTTATAATGAGGGTGGTGAGGCACTGAAACAGGTTGCCTAGAGGAGTTGTGGCTGCTCCATCCCTGGAAGTGTTCAAGGCCAGGTTGGATGGGGCTTTGGGCCCCATCTGATGTAGTGGAGGGTGTCCCTGCCCATGGCAGGGGGGTTGGAACTGGATGATCTTTCAGGTCCCTTCCAACCCAAACCAGTCTGTGATTCCATGATTTTATGATTTGCAGAAGTGAAGGTTCCCGTTCCAAGGCTCGTTTTGGTGTGTTTTTTGCAGACATGCTCCAGTTACTTTACTGATACAAGATGAAGCATAATTGTAAATTATTAAGACAAACCCACCAATGGCAAGCAAACGGAAAGCCAATTAGGTTGTCAGTGGTGTTTTCTGTCTGGAGTTTCTTTTTCCTTTCAACGACACTTGTTCACTTGGGCCAATGTTTTCAAACTCCACTGCCGGCAGTTCCTAGTTGATACTGAAGCATCTCAGGACAAGACGCCAGTGTCCTAGGGAGCTGAGCACATGAGCGTCCCACCTCTTGGCTGGTGGGGAACCTGAAAATCCAGCTCATTTGACTGCAGGGTGACCTTGCCTAAGACCACCAACTTGGATCTCATCAATGCTTGGGACAGGTAGGCATGAGCAGGGCCAGCTGCGGTCAAAACCGCAGCAGGCTGGAGTGCCACACCCACAGCTTTTGCCGAGCACTGGCCAAAAACCTTTCTTTTTTTCCTTAGCCCAAAGCCTGAAAGTCTTGAACTGCTCAAGTAACGGCTGCTCAGCTGCAGGGGGGACTTCCACGGCACCCACCTAAAGTAGACAACTCAGCACAAGGGATGCAGCGAGGAGGGAGCTGCAGCTCTGAATCTCCAGGGGACAGCGTGATGCTGGGACCTCAGCCTGAGTCCACCCTGGGACCCAACCACAGATACCTGACAGCATGGATCGGCGCATCCTAAAGTCCTTGTCAATACAAACACTGAGGTGCCACCAAGGAGATGAATGAAGAGCAGAAGCGTTGACACTTAAATTATACATCTTGCTTTTACGGGCAAGAGGCAACCTGAGAGGCAGATCTCTTAGAGAAAGCTCCAGATTTTCCAGCCCGAGGTACCACACAGCACCCACAGCCTTTAATGCGAGGAGGAAGGAAATGCCAGTGCACATTAAATACACCAAAGGGGTCAGGAAAACACGAACAGCTGCACCAAACGCCTCTGACAACACTTTCAGCTGCTCCTGAGCAATCAGGCTCACCTACACGTTTCTGCACCGCGCACGTCAGCACTGACAGGGCTCTGCCTCGAAGAGGACACATCTGCCGACCCAAGGGCCATGGAAACGCAGGTGACAGCAGGAGGGCTGTCACCAGTGTGGCCAGACATCTTCCAGCTGTGCTTCAGGAAGGAGGAACAGCAACCCCAGTGGCATAAAACAGCCTGGCTTATCTACAAGGGACAGCTGAGACCCCTCAAACTCATGGCACACAGAAACTTTCTATGCTGCAACAGCAGCAACACATTCCTCATTCCCTGCTCGAGTACATCCAGTTCCCACGTGGGATGTTCTGCAGTCACAGTCCCCACTGTGACCCTCTGCAGAGCAGCCGGAGCTGCTGAAAGCTGCAAGTGGGTTTGGAAGCAGCAAAGAATCCTGCAAAGAGCAAAACTGGGGAAAGGAGACCTGGCCACGCGGCTGTGATAGGGACAACTGAGCCTCAGGGGACCTTTGCTTCCAGTACGGCCTTGGGCAAACTGTCCCACCTGCCAGCATCAGTTCATCCTCTCCAGTGCAGGGTAAGTCCCCTCGAGGCTGTTGGCTCTTTTGGGGCAGTGATTGCCATTTCCAAGAGATACATCCAGAATCCTGCACAGCAGAACCCTGAGGGGTGATCGCAAACCTTTCTCAGCCTCACACCCAAGCACACGTTTGAGGAGGAGACGCTGGAGGGAAGCGCCTGGCATGGAGAGGGTCTGATGTCTCTCCCCAGAAAAGCAAATCTGTCGCCTCCTATTAAACATAGGGGAGAAGGACAAGTTTGTGGTTGTTTGTTACGGCACGGTGGAAGGGAGGGGGTGAAAACAGAGGTGGAAGCTGCAAAAGGTTACAACCAGACACGACCTCCCATCAGAGATGGGCACCCATCTCCACCACAGCCCGTATCTGCACGAGTTTCCTCATATGACACAAAGCCAGACACCAGTGCATTTTCCCCGCAGCAATATTTTCCATACCTGGACAGGAATAAGAGGCTCTTTGTCATCGATGTCAATTAGGACATCATCCCTGGGCGTGAGGCTCACATCATCTGCAATCAGAGCAAACACGGGCATGAGGAGGACACACAGCAGTGGCGTGTAGTGACAGGACACGGGGCGATGGATTTAAACTGAAAGAGGGGAGATTTCGATTGGATATAAGGAATAAATTCTTCCCTCTGAGGGTGGTGAGGCACTGGACCAGCTTGCCCAGAGAAGCTGTGGCTGCCCCATCCCTGGCAGTGTTCAAGGCCAGGTTGGATGGGGCTTTGAGCAACCTGGTGTAGTGGAGGGTGTCCCTGCCCATGGCAGGGGGGTTGGAACTGGATGATCTTTCAGGTCCCTTCCAACCCAAAACCCTTCTATGATTCTTTGAGGACACTCAGCTGTCAGAAACCCCAAAACCAAGACACCCTGTTATCAAGGGTGATCTCAACTTTGTCCCAGAGCGTTCACGTCAGCCAAAGCTCACGTTCATGCGGGTTGAGCAGCTTGGCCAAGGGACAGCCCATCTCACCAACCAACCCCAAAGCTAAACTCCTTCTTGGCACCTCACGGGCTTCTTGTATTCAGACCTATACTGGGCTGAGCTCAAAGCAACACATATAGCAACCCACAGCTCCTCCTGGAGAAGGGCACGGGTGTGCAGCCAGCATGGTCCCCATGGCAGTGTGTACCTGAGAGCTCCTGGGGACCACCCATCTCCTCTCGGTAAGGGTCACAGTAGAAGTCCTCCAGCGAGCGGATGGTGCACTGCCCCACCACAGGCCTTCGGCCAAATGGCCTGTTGTCAATGACTTTGACGATGATGGGGGGGCCGTACAGGCTCTCCTTGGGCAAACGCTGTGGACAGAGGGGGGGCAACACATAACCACACAGGGCAGGGACAGGCTGAGCAGGACAGGATTAGCTTCACCATAGAATGCATTTCTAACGAGACCTCCAGAGGTCCTTCCCAACCAGCTCTGCTATGACCCCACCACTGCAGGGTGGGGACCAGGTCCTCACCACTTCCATGAAGAGCACACAGACGTCAAAGTTGGGGTTCTTCTTGACATTCTTGATGACACAGGACTGCACAAGCTGGCCTCCACATTCCACAAGCAGGCTGGGCGAGGTGACACTGGCCAGCTGGTAGCTCTTGAGGTTCCTCAGCCCCCAAGCCAGGATCTGAAGGACGAGGGGAACAGACAAAGCAAAGACTGAGACAAAGGTCTGCCTCCAGGTCTTTCGCTGAGCTTCTCAGCAATGGAGGTAGACCTGAAGGTTGGTCCACCAGGAAGGAGAGATGAACCAACCGTGTGGGACAGCTGGTGCCGGGCGCCAGGCCAGGCCATACAGCAAGTATTTCTCTGTATGCACCAATACACTAGGTCCACAACTGCTTATCTATTAATGGAGCATCTCTGGTTTGGGCAAATATCACCCTGGTTTGAGGCAAGCTGTCCTTCTAAAAAGTAAGTGTGGTCCAGGGCTGTGCTCTGTCCTGGGGCTTGATTGCTCGGTAAGACTTGTTCTCCCAGTGAAACAATGTGTTTTGACTGATAACCCATCAACAGAACCAGCTCCCAGCACCATCAGGACTCTGCATCCACAGAGTCTGGCTTGGATCCCATTTCTGGGTCTCACCCTCCGCAATGAGGGACACACATTTGGGGTGTCATCCTGCGAGGGGGGTCAGGCTGCCCCATGTGCTCCCCATCACTCACCTCGATGGCCGTGCGCTGCAGGACCGGTTTGATTCCTTGGGGAACCATGTAAACGTTGGGCTCCCGCTGGGGTGGGGGGTACGGCAGGTCGGAGTCCGCAGACTGCAGGGGACAGAGACACGAGGGGCACGTCAGGTCATGCCACGACGGGACACCCACCCCATCGCCTCCCCCTCCCCATGCTGCGGCGCCCTCAGAGTCCTCTTCTCTCTGCAAAACTCATCTCCCCCCAGAAGTCCAGGACAGGGGGAGATGAGGGCTGGGGGGATGAATGTCCTGACAAACCATTTCTCTCCCTTAATCTCACCCTGGAAAAGATCAAACATCTACTCCTGAGAGCAACCCCTGAGCCTCTCCAAGGGAACAAGGAGGGTTCAGCCTCCTTTAGGGCAGGAGGGGATGAAACCGCATCTACCCCCACACCAGGACCGGGGTGAGATGGTTACGCCAAGGGATGAGGAGAGGGGATGAAGCAGCAGCAGAAGGTTAATTAGTGTAATTCAGCTCCTTGAGTTGGACAGAGTCGGATGCACTTCCTTATCATCATTGGACTCGAGATCATTTCTGGCAAATCTCTATGGGAAAAAGGGAAAGCCTTGGGGAAAGAGCTCCTGTCTGCCCCCTCATCTTCGCCAGGGTTCAACAGCAGCTTCAAAAGCCAACAGTGCGCTCTTGGCTCCCAACACTGCAAAGTCTTCAGCTAGTGCTAGCTGTTTCTAAGTCCTTCTCAATCCCCGGTTCTTTTGCAGTGGTTCTCCTGGTTCTCAGCATTAAATGTTTCACCAGACGGGACAGAAATGAGCAGTGAGCCCTGAGGATGAGGCAGGCACAGGGGGGGTTCAGGGTGGTAGTGGGGAACAAGCAATTCCCAGACACAGATCTCAACCCAGACACAGCAGGCAGGATGGAGGAGACATCCATGAAAGGACCTGTGGGGTCTGCTGGCAGCTGGGATGGTTTGAATGAGACAAGTCAGGGGAAATCAGGGTGGAAGGGAGCTCTGGAGATCATCTAGTCCAACCTTGACTTTGATACAGCATTGGAAGAGAGAGGGGTGAAAGTCAACACAGTGATTGGAAACGTCACCCAGCGCATATCTGGGTCGTTTTTTCAAGAGGGGCTTAAATCCCAGTGCTCGGATGGAATCTAGCCCCAAAAGGCTACTGTCATTTGCACCAAAGAGAAATGCAGTAGAATGAAGTGGGTGCCAGCCTGGTTGTTCAGCTACATCCTGAGTCTGAACGATGCATGTCTGGCTCTCCACAAGGCTCGTTATATACTGCTAAGGGCACTGGAGACCTTGGGCTGGCATCACTCTCTTGGATGCAGCGTCAGTGGGTTGGTCTGGATGGGGTTGCTGTGGGGCAGGTGGGACAGACCAGGCCACGTCTGGAGGAGCTGGTCTCTCTGAGAGTCTCTGTTGGGACTTTGCTCAGTTTCTGGGCAAAGGCAGAGGAAGAGAGGAGAGTCAAGCATTTGAGCATAAATGGTACCCATTGGAGGAGCCCCTCGTAGAACAAGGCAGGGGTGCAGAGCTGTGGAGTGCCCCGTCCAGAAATGGCAGTGGCAAGAAATGGAGGAGAAAGAGCAGAGAGATGGTTATGTTTACACGAGCTCATCCATCTCAGCCCACGTGGAGCACAAAGATGAACCCCACACCGTCAGGAAAAGCTGCCTAGGTGGAAGAAACCCACCTTGCAAAAACGTGTTTATCCCATCCAACTTTTAATGGAAACGTGGCCAGGCTCTTTGCATGCCCAGGTCCCTCTTAGCTCATGTCCCGGGCTAGCTGGCTCCTGGGGCCACCACAACACTCAACCAGACATGCCCCTTGTTCAGCTCCCTGCCTTGGGTTTTCCAAGATACCAGTCTACGCCGGCAGTGCTTGGTTCAGCTGGTGGTCTGCTCTGCAGGATGCACAAGATCCAGGTAGCAACTTTAACAGGTTGCCCAAGTAGCAGCTTGGGATCCTGGGAAGACTATTTCCTTCAGGGCAACCGGAACAGTCCAGCACATGCCTCAATTCACAGCAAATTCCCCATGAAAAGTTGCAAACTTTTCAACTGCGGTTTCAGCTGAGATCAAGCCAAAAGCCAGCCCAAGCATTTCGGCTTTTCCATGCTTTGTTTGGAAGTGTTGAATACCAGTAGACCTCATGCACACACATCCCACAGAGGTTAAGTATGACCTGACATGCTCTGCCACCAGGAACACCTCCTGGGTTAAGCATGGAGCCCATCTACCCTGTCCCACTGGTGACCATCCATGTTCCTAAAATCCTGACACGATTAGCTTGACTCAACCGAAAAGAAGTGGCTGCCCCATGGAGGCACAATTTTAACAATGTCCAAAACAAAGAGACAACTAAATCTTATAGACTCACCTCATCCAGGCTGGAGGACAGCTCGCTCTGGAGAAGAGAAGAGGACAGAGTTAGAGCAATTCTCATCCATAAGCCCATACTAAAGCTCATAATTGTAGGTGATAACTGAATAGAAGAAGGATGCTTTCCAAGTTCCTGCACACCATACGCCCTGAGGTTTGAGATTTCTTGCAGCCCAGAAAGCCAACCATGTCCTGGGCTGCATCCAAAGCAGCATGGGCAGCAGGTTGAGGGAGGGGATTCTGCCCCTCTGCTCTGCTCTGGTGAGACCCCTCTTGCAGTGCTGTGTTGAGCTCTGGGGTCCCCAACATCAGAAGGACAGGGAGCTCTTGGAGTGGGTCCAGAGGAGGCCATGAAGATGATCTGAGGGCTGGAACACCTCTGCTAATGAAGACAGGCTGAGAGAGTTGGGGCTGTTCAGCCTGGAGAAGAGAAGGCTCCGGGGAGACCTTCCAGCACCTTCCAGTACCTAAAGGGGCTACAAGAAAGCTGGAGAGGGGCTTTGGACAAGGGCGTGTAGTGATGGGACAAGGGGCAATGGATTTAAACTGAAAGAGGGGAGATTTCTATGAGATCTAAGGAAGAAATTTTTCACTCTGAGGGTGGTGAGGCACTGGAACGAGTTGTGCAGAGAAGTTGTGGCTGCCCCATCCCTGGCAGTGTTCAAGGCCAGGCTGGATGAGGCTTTGAGCAACCTGGTGTAATGGAGGGTGTGCCTGCCCATGGCAGGGGGTTGGAACTGGATGGTCTTTGAGGTCCCTTCCAACCTGAACCCTTCTATGATTCAAAGAAATCAGTGCAGGAGACCTAAAACCATTTAAAGCCCAGCATCAGCATCAGTGAATGCCTTTGTTCAGACAGGTTGCAGGGCAGCAAACATGCTGGAGCTGTTGGGGAGCACAGCCCTTCGCTGTGGGAATGGTGAAATTATGGCAGGGCAGGAAGGCAGCGGTGCATTTGAAACCAGAGGAATTATATCTGGAATGGGATACATTTGCCCTGTCTTTCGGGTCAAAAGGGAGCTGCCCACTCACTTCAGCTCTCTCTAGCATCAGCTGAAGGAAACTGGCACCTCTGCATGGGGATTCCTTCATCCTAAAACAAGTCCCTAAGGCAGGATGGACAAACTGCCTGCAGAGGTGGTGCTGCAGAGTGCACTGCAAACCTCTGCGGGAGCTGGCAGTAGTGCAAGGACTCAGCAGGTCTGGGGAGGGGATGGTAAGAGGGGTGCAGGGAGTGGGGGCTGCAAACAGGAGAAAGGCATTACCTCGAAGCCAGGGATGTGATGGACAGCCGGCTGTGGAGGGAAAAAAGCAGATACTTTCCATTTGCACTCCTGGTGCTAACTCAGCTTTATCTGGCAGAGAAACATCAGTCCTCTGTAGCCACGGGCTGCCCCCGCCATGCCCCATGCTGGGCTCCAAACAGCCTGGGCACGAGGGCAGGGCTCTCCCTCTGGCCAGGGGACAGGAGCAGAGCCTCGGATCCACCCGGCTGCTTTCTGCTAGGATCAAACCAGGTCCTTGGAGAGAACTCCCCTCTCCAAAGTCTTCCCCACCCAGTTCAGTAACTTCTGAAGGGGGTGAGGAGGAAGAAGAGGCCACATGTGGATGACTCAGGCCCCCACCCAATTCTGGCAACAGAGACATCCCCTGACCCCGACCCGACAGGAGCAGAGCCTCGGATCCACCCGGCTGCTTTCTGCTAGGATCAAACCAGGTCCTTGGAGAGAACTCCCCTCTCCAAAGTCTTCCCCACCCAGTTCAGTAACTTCTGAAGGGGGTGAGGAGGAAGAAGAGGCCACATGTGGATGACTCAGGCCCCCACCCAATTCTGGCAACAGAGACATCCCCTGACCCCGACCCGGCAGCCCCAAACTTTTGCAGCAAGGCTGGTACTCAGCGCATCATGTCCAGAGCTCAGCATCCCTCTAGAAGTGGAGCTGGGACTGACATCTGAGAGAGGGAGTGGGGAGCTGCAGGACCCTCACTCCCAATTAGCACCTGGGGGCTGGGAAGGAGGAACAGGAGGGGGAAGATTCAGCCTTCCAGTTCATCCACTTCCCCTGGCACAGGGGCACATCTGGGCTGCAGCCAGGTGCCATGAAAGGCGATGTGGTGGCAGTGCATGCGGGTGGACAGGGAGGGTCGAAAAATCACACGGGAGCACGCTGGGGCATGACGAGGAGTCTCTCCCACTCAGGCTGGCTCCGAAGCACAGCTGGCATTGCAATTAGAGACAGGATGGGTCCGGATGAGGAGCTCACCTTCTCCCTCTGAATCAGCTCGAAGGCTGCCAGCAGCTCGCCGACGTTGCGGTTCGCCTTGACAACCGGGTGCCAGGAGAGCCGCGGCGAGGGCACCAGGCTGGGCCGGCAAACACAGCGCCCCATGAACTCATCCGCACCCTGGAAGGTAACCACAGGCACGGGGAGCTTTCCTCCCACCCCGCGTCCCAGGGGAGCCCATCCAGCACTGCGGCTTAGCCGAGACCCTGTCACTCAAAAATCAGGCTCAACGTCTGAACCGTTGTGGGACCAGTTCAGAAAGAAAGATGTTTTTGATGCCCACATAGGCTCAAGATTCCAAACTCCTCCCTGTAACTAGCTAGAAATGCAGTTTCTTGTGCATTTTTAGCCTAAACAGGAGGTGAAATTCCTATGGTACCACACGATTCCCAGAGCAGGAGCTCTGAGTGTAACATTAAGCATCAGCAGCTCTTAAAAAGACCATTCACTGGTCTGCAACGGGATCTTCGGTGGCTTTTGCTGCTTCCCGCTGGTGTCTTTTGGAGGAGGGAGGGCAGAAGGGCTCCTGAGAGGTTCCTGAGACATTCCTGAGATGTATTCTAAGGGCTTTTCACTTACGCACTGCTCTTACCCACAGCCTGAAATCCCTCCTGCACTTGTAATGTGCCACAGGCCAGTTTCTCTACGAAAGACTCAAGGTTATCTCAGCAGCCCCCCAAATGCCATCGCTGCAAGGCACTTTGGAGATCTTTGTGCAGCTGAGCAAACAAGAGGGTATGGTCCCCTAATTGCGTGGCTGCTTTAAAATCTGTCACAAGCTTTTTCCACAGCGAAATATGGTTAATTTGGCCACTCTGCAAAACATCATGTAGATGCAGCTTTGGTAACTAGAGCAGGGTCACCAAGGACATCACTAGCAGAGCTATTCTCTGATTTTTTGTCTTCTGAGTGTCCAGCTCAATGTCTGAGCCACCCAGAGATGTTACAGCATTGCCTTTTAGAGGGCAAGAGTGATGTCATGTGTTTGTCCCATCTATCCCAGCACACTCACACCACAAAGGTCCAGCTGATGCCAACACACTTACGTAGGTGTCATGGTCATATATTTCCACCACGATGTTGGGAGGGGAGTCAGACACGTTCTGGGGGTCCCCAAAGATCTCTATCTCGTAGAAAATGAGCGTCTGGTCCCAGGTGGGGTTCAGGGTGTTCTTGATCACCACCGTCTTCTGGCTTTGGTGGAGGAAGGAAACAATGGCATAAGGATCTGCAAGGGAGGATGTTAGACAAGAGGCAAAGGATGAATAAGAACTATTGGTCTAGAAAGGAGAGAGCAGTTCATAGTCATTCGTGGCCCAACAGGTTGTGCAGGGAAGACTCTGAACAGCTCTGGAGGAGCTGCAGGTCTTTTAGAAACAGCAGTGACGTTCCCATCATGTCCCAGGCAACTCCAACTGGGAAGAGAATGAGGCCAAGGTCTCCGACACTCATCCCTGTACACCAGTTATTCACATCTCAGGTACTTCCCAAGCTGGATGTGATCTCTGTATGTTTAGCAACCCTGCAAAGACTTGCCTTGTCTCTCTTGAACCCACCATATCCTCTGGTGAGGACTCAAAACTGCATGAAGAACCATCCTTCCATGTTTCTTCGCAGTACCCAGCTCCCTCTATCTCCGTCTGAGGCTCCTCAGTTCTTGCATGAGGAGAGAAGGAGCAGCCCACTCCTGCCCACCTGCACTGATACTCAGGGTTCTGCAGGTTTCTATGATGCTAACCCTAAAACATCTCTTTTTTAAGCTGAAGAGTCTCAGCCTATGGAGTTATTCCTCATAAAGGGCAAATCCCAACCTCTGCTCATTCCAGCTCTTTTTGGAACAAGACAATGGTCCACACAACTTAGCTGCCTATCTTCCTTCTTATCCCACAGCAGCCTCCTTTCCCTAAAAACCTTTGATGAAGGATTTTTTTGCTGAAAACCTTTTGGACATCCAATGAGACCATGTGAACCAGAGCAACCTCATCCTCTGGCTTGTGATAGCTCCAGCTGGTGGAGACACCGTGACCTTCCCTGGCCACATCTCCCAGCGCTCCACTGCTGTAGCATTAGAAATTTCCTCACTGTCGGACCTGATCTGTCCTGGTCCAGCTTATCCTCACAACTCCTCACGCTGTCCACCAGCAATGAGGTAGCACGTGTGGTTCACTTATTGCCCTAAAGTGTGGGGTTTTCTCCCAAAAGATGACTCCACGAGGATGAGTGTTTCCATGGTGCTAATACAGCCATCTTCCAGCACAGCAGAGAGCACAAACTGTTCCCATGTCTTTCCTAGGGAGATGCAGGAGGTACCAGCACTGCACATGTCGGGGAGCAGTGACTTCAGGTCACCCTACTGTGAAGACCAGACCACAAAGAAGGTGGCTGGGACATTACTGCCTCCTTCCTGGGGTCTCTAACATCTCCAGAAGGGACAGGAGCTGAGGATGCAGCCAGCAGCTGGCGAGAGTCATCCTATCAGCCCCTCTGCATGAGCTTTGGTAACCTCCAGGTCTTGGAGATGGTTTTGGGTTCCCAGCACTCCAGATCATCCTGCCTGGCCTTCAGCTGCCAAACCAGATGGCTCTGGGTCTCCCTTAGGGCCGTCCATCACATCTGTCAGCCCACGCAGGCGTCTCAGGTACTCCAGGGTCTCATCAGACCCCTGAACGTAGGCTCTGAGCTGGGACCAAGGTGTCTCACTCCTAACATGGGACAAAGCCAGAGGCTTCTCCCTGCAAGGCAGCACCAAGCTGTGACGAGGAGCGTCCCTTACCAAGCAAAGCAATTAACACAGGTAGCCTGAGATCAATTAACAACGGAAATGAGAAACCTGAGTCCTCTCTAACACCTTCCCTTCCAGACAGTTTCAAAGAGCACGTGACCCAAACCTGCTGAGGACATCCAGCCCACATTGGCAGTGGCACTGGGCACGGGGACAGGATGGGCGGTGGCAGAACCAGGATCAAGGGCTGGGTGAGAGGCTTGACATGGCATCATGTTATAAGACCCCCCTGGAGACTGAACACCCTTCATAATCTGATAGCACCTACTGGTCCTTGTCAGGGATGAGACCTCCATGATTGCTGCATCCCACCTGACTGGTCCCAGGTGGACCCCTGAGCTCTGGTTGCCTGCAAAGCCCAACTTCCACCATGGCAGGAGACATCATGGACCTTTTCGGAAGGACACAGGCCACCTCCTCCGTCTGGCATCCAGCATGGAGTGCCACCACAAGACATGGATGCACCAGCACAAATCAGGGCACCACCCAGGTCGCCCCAAAGCCAGTCTCAAAAGACCTGCTGGCAGCCAGGAGCATGGCAGACCCTATAAACACAACCCTTGGTGCTTGGCACTGTGCCCACCCCACCAAACACCATGCACACCCCAGCCCCAGCCCTGCCAGGAGACTGGATTGGCCGCAAAACGCATCCTCCCTCCCCCAGAGATGGAGGAGCATCCCAAGACCCAGAATGTGGGGCTGGCTGAGCAGGCGGCACCCCCCACCCTCCCTCCCCGCTCCCAGGGCTGGTGGGGGGGGGACAGGGGGACGTATTTTCTTTCTCGGCGCCCGGACCACAGCAGACATGTTTAATGAGCCGGGGCTGGTCACGAGGTGCTTGGCTGGAGACAGCACTATTCACACCGGGAAGAACCTTTTCCACTTACGCGCTTTTTTCCAGCGAGAGGAAAGCAGAATGCATTACAATAAACAAAAAAAACCCTATGGGTTTGGATTTGCTTTTTCGCTCTTTTTTCTTTTTTTTTCTTTCCCCTCTTCGTCTCTTTAAAAGAGCCTCCATAAAGCCCCTTTGTTTAGACCCTCGTGCGCACAGAAGGTTTATTTTCATAACTGTGCAAAGTTCTCTTAATGAACTCCTTTATGCTTTGTTTAGGCAACGGAGATCACAATTCCACATTGTGGCATGTTGTTACTGATGTTGTCCTTGGCCAGGTTTTTCCGAGGGAAGGGACTCCCCTCCCCGCTCCGCTGATCGGGGCCATGACATCACCCCGGTCCCCACCACTCCAAACAACAAACCTTTGTGGAGGCGGAGGCGAGACAGGACCTCGGTGGGCGCAGACACTAGGTGATTGTTTGAGAGCTCTGCACCTCTCCAGGGCATTTCTGTCCACCCCCCACCCCGAGCCCCTCTGCTTCAATATACTGGGAGAAGTAGGAGCACCCCGGGACTGTGGTCCTGCTGCCCGACGTGGTTATGTCCTGCTGTCCTCGCCGGCTGCTCCCCATTGCATATCGCAGAATCATGGAATCACAGAGTAGTTTTGGTTGGAGGGGATCTGAAAGATCATCCAGTTCCAACCCTCTGCCATGGGCAGGCACACTCTCCACTACACCAGGTTGCTCAAAGTCTCATCCAACCTGGCCTTGAACACTGCCAGGGATGGGGCAGCCACAACTTCTCTGGGCAACCTGTGCCAGTGCCTCATCATCCTCAATGAAAAAAATTTCTTCCTTAGATCTAATCTAAATCTCCCCTCTCTTAGTTTAAAGCCATTGTTCATTGTCCTGTCACTACACGCCCTTGTCAAAAGTCCCTCTCCAGCTTTCTTGTAACCCCTTTAGGTACTGGAAGGCTGCTGGAACATCACCCCGGAGCCTTCTCTTCTCCAGGCTGAACAGTCCCAACTCTCTCAGCCTGTCTTCATAGCAGAGGTGCTCCAGCCCTCAGATCCTCTTCGTGGTCTCCTCTGGACCGACTCCAACAGCTCCATGTCCTTCTTGTGTTGGGGACCCTAGAGCTGAACACAGCACTGCAGAGGGGTGTCTCACGAGAGCAGAGCAGAGGGGCAGAATCCCCTCCTTTGACCTGCTGCCCATGCTGCTTTGGATGCAGACCAGGACACGGTTGGCTTTCTGGGCTGCCAGCACACATTGCCGGCTCATGTTCTCATCAACCAACACCTCCAAGTACTTCTCCTTGGGGCTGCTCTCAGTCCATTCTCCACCCAGCCTGTACTTGTGCTTGGGATTGTCCCGACTCATGTGCAGGACCTTGCACTTGGCCGTGTTGAACTTCATTAGGTTCTCACAGGCCCACCTCTCCAGCCTGTCCAGGTTCCTCTGGATGGCATCCCTTCCCTCCAGCGTGTCCACAACATCACACAGTTAGTGTCATCAGCAAACGTGCTGAAGGCGCACTCAATCCCACTGTCTGTGTCACCGACAAAGATGTTCAACAGCATCGGACCCAACACTGACCCCTGAGGAACACCACTCGTCTCTGGTCTCCACTTGGACATGGAGCCGTTGACCCCAACTCTTTGAGTGTGGCCGTCCTCAAAATGACACTCCAAAGCATTAACGGGTGTGGGCAAAGGCAGCTTTGGTCACCAGCACCAAAGAGGCACGGGGTCAGCTGGCTGGGATGACCCAGCCCATGGCAAAGAGGATGTGGGACCCTCCAGCTGCCGGGGGTGCTGGTCCCTGCTCGGGTCAAACGCGAAGGACCGTTCCTGGGATGCCCTCCCACCCCCACAGCCACACTTCAGCAAACAAAACACTCCTAAAACCAAACCACCTACGCCCAAGCACCCTTCAGCACCGAATGGTAACAGAGCTGCCCACACAATAGAGCCATATGCCTTATCCTGCCTTGATTTCCTGACCCAGAAACTATGAGCTCAAGCATGGGATGTCCCAACCACATCAGCTCAAGTCTGGCAGTGCCAGCAGTGCCTGGAGCTGTGCTGGGGACATGCTGAGCAGCGTGGAAAGCCCCTTGCTCAAAGCCCAGGACACCTTTTTCTCCACCTGAGACCACACTTTTTTTCCATGAAGGGGCATTTTTTCCAGTCCGGTCTGAAGGATGCCTGGTTCAGGCATCAGCTCCCTCAAGGAAACCCTCAGCCGCTGCCTCCAGCCCCCTTGCAAAGTCTCCAGGACAGAGAGCAGAGGAGCAGCAGCTCAATGTAATGTTTGGTCATGAAAACAAATAGGAACCGTTTTACAGATTCGCCACGGTTGGGTATTTTCCTTTCCAACCGTACTTGCAATCAATTCTCTCATTCTTAATAAAGGAGGTCTCCCTTCTTCAGCCTCGATCCCTTCCCCAAACCTTGGGACAAATTCCCTCCATGAACCCCAAACCAAGGAGGCTGCTGTCCCCCTGCCCTGCATGGGTGGGTGAGTGGCTGGCCAGGCTTCAACCTGCTAGGAGCTGGATGCTGAGGGCACATCAATCCAACCAGAAACGTCATGAGGATGCTGGAGAAGGTGCCTGTCCACTCCGAGGTCCTAATTACACCCTTTTTAATTTTCCCAAGCACATCTCATGAAGGTTTCTGCCTCGTGCTCCATCTTCTCGACACCAGCCCAGAGCCCCCTGTCCTGCCAACAGCCCCCAGCTCGCACGAGGCGATGTGCCACGGTGAAAAATCTGCCCTGCACTCTGTTTTTTCTGGTTTTATTTGTTGTTTGTCTGCTCCTCAGCCTTGCCCCCGCCTTCAGCACCACCTCGGGTCAGGGAGAAGCAGCTGTTAGCAAAGCAAACAGCTCTGACCCAGGGCTGACCTGGGTAACTTGAGGTTTGTGGTTGGTTTCTCACATAAGAGTTCTTGAAACTCTGATTTATTTTTTTTTTTTGGCTGATGGGAAATCAAGCTACCAGGCTGGTCGCCTCGGGAAAGCCTCATGCCACCGTCTTTTGTTGCACGGCTGCCAAACACCCCTCCCCACATCACATCAATAAACACCCCAAACATCGCTTTGCAGACCCCACGACGTCCTGGCATTCATCACGGCACTAATTACAAGCACCAACGCGTGGACGTGGGTTTCTGGGCTCACCTGAAAAGCTGTCCTTGTCCATGGCGATCAGATCCCGTGCCTGGTACATGTAGCAGCGAAGGTGGTACCTGTTCCCACCTGTGCAGAGGAGCAAGGAACAGTTAAGAGACGAGGCCAGGGCTGAGTGCAGGGCACAGGGGAGCAGTTGGGTTTTTAACCAGCCCCAGGCTTGGCTCAATCCTTCCTGTGGCTTCCCAAGGGATCACCTCCGTGTTCCCAGGGGGACGAGCCATGCCCCATCCTCACCCACCTCCCTCTTTCCATCCGCCTGCACTCAAGGTGAGGAAGAGGATGGGGAACACCCAGCTGTGGGGTCCCCATGGCAGAGACCCCACCAGGACTCCCCACAGGGGAACCGCACCTTCCCCTCCCACCCCCAAGGCCTTACAGTCAAATATGCACGAAATGGTGGGTCTGTTGACACCAAAACTGAGGGTGGAGATGGATTTGCCATCGTCGCTCCTGTCGTCTGTCACTCCCCCCTGCAAGAGAAGGCAAGGCAAGGTCAGACACGCCGGGACCCTCTCCGTGGGATGGGGTCCTCCAGGTTTTTATCCATATGGGTCTCCAAGAGGACTTTCGGCTTTCTAACGGAGGGACTCCCGGGCTCTTCTGTCCCAGGAGGGCAGAGAGGTCCCTGATCCTGCTCCATGACATGCTGGGAGGGAACAGGACACGGCAACAAAAGCAGCCCGGGGGTCACCAACCCACATCTCACCTCCCAGCATCTCACCAGTGAGGAAAAACTTCTTCATAAAGCACATCGCTCTTGGAAGAGCAGTTAAAGCAATTTCACAGAGTCCCCTCACGAGCAAAATTCATGGAGTATTAACTTTGTGAACAGTGATATAGACGGTGTCAAATGCAGCCAAAGGCCCCATTGGCCACTCAGGGGAGCCGTGGCCCAACTCGGCCACCCCTCTTCCTT